CCTCCACCGCCACGCACGCTCGTCTAATCCAACTTTGTTTGTCACGGGACGTTTCTAATAATCTACATCAGTGGAAGTGTTCTCAGAACCTGATCCCAGACGTACCACTGAATACCAACCCCGGGGCGCTCTGCGGTTGCACTTGGCACAACTCTTCGGGATACATGGATGATATGGGAAAAGGGAGTGCAGGAAGTCATCTGGCCTTGCGTCCCAGTGATCCACAATCTGAGCGATTCTAGATTTGATGCTCTTGTCCCATAGCCTTCGATGTGGATGTACTGGTGAGAAGCCGGATGAGAAAGATTCCAAATCTCGGAGATATGCTATTGTTTCAGGCATGTCTCGGACGATCTGCGGTTGTTTGTTATTCATTTCGAGGGCACTGCGGAGGCTTCGCATTGAGGGGAGCTGACCAAGCAAAGCAGACGACAGGCAAGCAGATGAAAGTAGAAATTGGGGGACAGATACGGGCTGGTAGACTCACATCAGCGGAGTTTAGAGCACATACGCACCACACCATCCACACCACGCCCTGAAGGAGTCACATACTTAGGGCCTTATTGATCATTCATAATCTAAAGCGCTTCTTCTGATTCATATGTGTTGACCATTCTAATGAGAAACGCATTCAGCAACAAGTCTGATAGCCGCAGTTTGGAGAATGACACAGACCTTGTCTGACCAGCCTTCATTTGTATCTAACGTTTGCAAAGTATCCTTGTTCCACGTAAGACCATAATACTCCACAGTTTCCTTCATGATGTCGGAACGTCTTGGACTGAATTTGATGCGAGACAGATACGTTGTCCACGTCTCTCGGAGAGTAGGATGGCCACTGGAAGAGCATCTCTCTGGATTTGCAGCAGTCAAGCACAATGAATGACGATTGAATAATGTGGAATAGTGTAGGAGAATGCCACCGGGTTCCTGAGTGCGCTGAACGAACACGACGCAAGCGAGGGACAAGAATCAGGAGCGCCAGGCATCGTCGTCCGCCTTCTACTTCATATGTGGAGAGCCTGCACCATCGCACCAAAGACGAACCAAGTCTCGCCGCATGCGGGCACAGAAGGCGTTTGATTCGGCGCTAATATGTGGAAGTGCGGAACGCGCGCAGGTGTCGAATTCGTCGTCTGGAGCGCGACTAGCCAGCAATGATCTAACCGAGCGCAATGTCAAGAAGTCTTTCACGGGCAAGAATGAATTCTTTTCGAGCTCGGTTGGAAGAGCATAATATAGCTGAACAAAGATCGCTCGAGCCTTAGACTGATTGCGAGCGACAAATTGTTCGCGCAATCGTCGGTCCCTGTTGGCGTTGGCGATCATTCCGATTCGGGGGAGAACTTGATCCCAGGCTGGCCAGCTTAACAGTCTTATAACCATATTGTGAATATGACACTTACTCCCGGACCTAGAAGGCTTCTTACTTTCTTCACGAACGAACTGTTTGATGTCAATCCGCTCGAGGTCACGAGCGTCATGCCCCAGTTCTTTCATCCGGCGGGCAAATCTGGGCAAACCATCAGGGGAGGTGATTCCTCGCGGATACATGAATACACACTCATTGCATTTCTGAGTCTGTTGTTTTGCGGATGCATTTAACAGATGTGTCAGAAAGAGGCCCATTTCCTTAGCCGTCTATAAAGGCGTTAAGGGTCGAGTCCAACTTTGAGTCCAAAACGCACCTTGTCGAGCTTCTGAATGAAACTAAGCCTTGCTTTCTCAAAAGCTTTTCGTTTCTTTGGATTTTTATGGCAGTCCTCTCGTTGTATAGGTCCATCACCGCGCTACGCAGGTACAGCGAATATTGGTCATCGGATGTTCCTCGCGGTGCTGCGGCAAAGACTTAACAAATCAGTGCTGTGGTTAGATCTGCGTTCCTTACTGTATCCTGTAACAAGACGCAGCGTATCTTGTTCACCATGAAGAAGGTCGCTGGCCACTTTCCCACGCACAAGATGCTTGCTCGTACATGCGGAACACAGGCGCATGCGAATGAATGGGGTTTCAGAACGAGCCATTGCGTCTATGCCACACATCTGAGTTTGATAAGTTGGTTGGAGATCCATGTGGCAGTAAATGAGCGTACCTGACAGGTTTGCTGAAAGAGGAGTGCGGCATAGAACCATTCGGTCATGTCGGGCGGGAGACCAGGTAAACCAGGCACATTTTTTCGCGCCTGTGCCCAAATGGCCTTTGATTCAGCGGTGATGAGAACAGCCCGCGTATTCTTGTTTATATAAGACAGTTTGAAAAGATCGATAGGTTCCACACAAGAGAAAACCTAAGACAATACATGAGCCTCGTCTCACGATCAGCTCTCAAGCGCATATATGCTCCCATTCCCATCTAAATACCAACAAAGAGGCATGTATGCGCCAGGACAATGGATGTAGCTCACTTCTAGCATAATGTTGGCAGGCATTTCTTCTAACCAGCTGCTCCTGCCGACAGACCTCTTCTCTGTGCACATCTTGCGTTTCTTTCTCTCATACTTCATCCTGTCCACGTCGAAAGCAGCATCGGTAAAGGTTTCTAGATCAGCAGCTGTGTCGGACGTGCCAAACGAAGAGGCCTTTCGTTCCTGTCCTCCTTGAGCTGCGGCGGTAGGTGAGGGAGAGCCAACAACGGCGGTTAGATCGGTGCTAGATGTATGTGTCAATCATCAGACATTCATAGAGGAAACAGGTAGAGAACATACTCAGTACTGGAGGTCGGCATGTTATCCTCTTTAGACACAGGTCATCGAAAAGTTCCCAGAGGGGGAAGATGGTGGTCAGAGGATGAAGACCAACCCCACAGCTCGCACGCTCCTGATTATATACGCTTCAAGCCTGAGATACCCCGTTAACCGCCGGGAAGCCCCTGTATTTGTCCGGAAACTGTTTGGTGATGAGGCTTGGGAAAACAAGGAAAACTCAAGAATTGGGGTGCGGACTTGCATGTCCCGGACCCGTCTTCTCCTTTTTTCTTTTCTTCCCTTTTTTTTGTTAAATCTCCACCATCTTTGAAGTCCTCAGAGCAAAGAGATAACAAGCAGAGGACGTGCACTTTGCAAGCTGTCAGTTATATATGAGTTCACCCCAGAATTACGTACCATTCGCGCTGGCAGTTCTCCGTCCCAGGTCACCTGTTTTCGCCTCATCCCAAGATTTCGGACAAAAGAACCAAATTCGCAGTCTGCACTCATGCTATCGCAAACGTAGGAGTCCAGCCAATAGAAGGACAAACCGCATAGGCTCACCCTGGACTAGCTGTTCAGCTCATCTTCCTCTGCCTCGCCCTGGTGCTTCGAGTCATCTCACACTTCAGTCAGGCGACAAAAGCCGTAGAGGTGTATAACAGATACATAAACCCACACAAGTAGGATACATTACTTCCCCTCTCCTTTCTCCATCCACCTGGCGGGAACTTGCACCGCGCGTGATCTTAAACTTATGACGAGGCAATCCTCAGATTCCGCACTCGAAGCTCCTCCCGTCACCAAACTCCGCATCCCTATTTGTTGCCTTCCTCCCACGCTCATCATGACCCTTGCATGCATCCCCTCTCCCCCTCTCCCTCCGGGATCAAGCCGCCACTCTGTTAATCAGCCCTTGGAAGGGCATCGACCGCGTCGTTCGGTTGGTGCTTGAGGAAAGCAGAAATGATGGGAAACAAGAGAGATATGGTGGGAGATATGTGTGGATAGAGAGGTGATCAGTTAAGGTGAGTGGGGAAACATTTGTGCTTGAGGATATGGGGAGAGTGGACTGATGTGAGGGGGAACTGTGCCAAGACGGTCTGTTCGGAGTTATCTCCCTTTACGCGGGTCCTTAACCCCAACCCTCTGTCCACCTCACTTGCATTGTCACCATGATGTGGTTTACGCTTTTGATGTGACTCCTACTGTACCGTATATACAATAGATAGTCTAATCGAGCTCTCTTGTGAACCTCTTACGGGTGAGCGTGCTTCCGGATAACGGATCTCAGTATACTGGTATAGCGGTATATATGCGATGATACGGTCGAAGAGGATGTGATATCAAGGAGAGGGGCTAGCTAGAGAGGGGATAGTGGTCGAAGGGGAAGAGTTCGGCGCCCCGTTACAGGGGGATACGAGCTATCTAATATAAAATCTAAAGGAATGTGGAGGTGGTAATTGGAAGATACCATGGAAAATACCTGAAACTAATCGAGTGAGACAGACCCTCGATATCGGTCCGGCGGTATCCGGATACCGCATGCGAGCCGGTAAAACGGATGTTCCGGCAACGGATATATTGGGTATGGCTACGACGGACTAACTACAATACACTTTGTATTGTGTAACTGCATGACCGCAGCGCATGACCATATCACAATACATTTGGTTACTAGCACACAGAATACAATAGCTTCAAAGCAATGATAAATGTCGAAAATCGCCTCAGAAGCGCTCTGCGAGGTCTTGCAGGGCCTTCATCAGTTTCTTATCTTCCTCACTGAGCCCAACCAAAACGGCCTCCTTCGCCCCTTCCACAGGGAACAACTGTCCTGGATCCGACTTGCATATTGTCCCATATTCCGGTAATTTGCCCTTAAAGAAGTAGTCTTGAAGCTTATGTGCTGTGCACAGAGACGGATGCGCGGGAGAACAGTGCCCGAAGCCATCTTGGATCAGCAGGGTTGCGGACTCGGGCCCGAAGTTCTTTGACATCGCCCGCGCCGAAATAAGAGGCGTAACCGCGGGTCCGCAGTGTTTCTGACACAATATAAGCTCACACTGACAGGCTATGAGGAGAAACTGCGTGCCCTAAGAATATCACCCGATGCTTAGTCTTTTTGAGCCCATCCTCTACCGTCCAGGGGCCGCGATATGTCTCCCTGGCAGTGACATTCCAAAACCTGCACTTGCCTGCTATGGCCTGTGCCCAGCGTGCTCCAGTTATGCTTCTCTCCTCCAGCTCGCGTGAGTAATCCATGAATGCCTCAGCGCCCGGCTTGCTGCGCATCGTCTCCGGATCAGTATCGGAGCAAGTGATGCCCTAGCGTGCCCCTATCAATGATGGCGTTTGATAGTGAAGGATCACTCACAGCAGTTGCCACGACACCACCCAGAGTGCTCAGATGTCGATTGAACATGTTATTCGTCATACTAGTGGGGCGCGACATTGATTTTGTGTCAGAGAAACCGTTAAGATCGGCCAATGCCGCTCCGTCTCCCTGTTCGGCATCTGCAAGAGCTTTGGCGAGCTTCGGCCAGAGAGTCGGTTTGTACATGCTAGAGAAGATCTAATTATAAATCAGCGAAGTTACGCACTTCATGATGGGATGCTTACCGCAGCAGTAATATCGCTGGCGGTGATGACGCCCGAATTCAGTCCCGTGAAGGGTACGGGAAGCGGGCTACCGACAAGCTCCTGCTCCAGAGCCTTGATCCTCAGCTCTAACTCTTCAGCAGTCGAGTTTGGCTTAGCCAGAGCGCAGCCTTCTGGCCCTGCTTCGGCACACGCTGCGAGGAACCCCTGCCAGACTTTGTTCGTGTCTTCCGTGTCGCTCCAGCCATGTTTGTATATGTCTGTGGTGAAAGAAACGGCATTGCTCACTCCGTCTAGGACCATGCGGTGTGCAAGCTCGGGGAACATTGCTGCAAAGGTGACTCCCACCATAGTACCGTAGCTGAATCTACACGAAACTCAGCTAAACATGTCTGTCGCAAGCCTGAGAGTTGACGCACCCCCAATAGACCATGCCCCTGTCTTCCTCACCCAATGCTTCCAGGATACTCTTCATGTCTCGCGCCGTGAAAGCCGTCGTAACCGCGCCCAGCATCTTCTCGTTCCCATTCCGCTGACAACTCTCCCACACCGAACGTGAATACGCATCAATTCGTTCGAAGTAGTTCAGCTCAGCATCTCTTGCACGGCCATTATGGGGCGCGACAGCTTCTCAAATTTCGTGCGGCATCCCGAGCTGGAATCGCTTCAGGTCTTGCATGTACTCATCCCAGTCCGTGGGGAAGCAATCTAATGCAGGCGTGGTCTATGCGGATGTCAGATCATTTCTAGAAGGTTAGTTCGTCCATGCCATGTTCACTCCACGAGGATCCCAAGGAATGATGTCGTATCTTCCTAGAAGGCGACATCAGCGCCACAATGCAATGCGTCCAGGAGAGGGGGTTCTCACCCTTCAAAACGATATTCATCGCCGGTCCACATCGTGCCACCGAGTTCGTTCCAGAGCCACCCGGACCACCTAGCGATAATATCAGGCCATATTTCCTTCACAAAGGTATAGGATACGCACCAGGGTTTGTCAACAGCGTCCCCAACCGCTCACTCTTTGGCGCCGTAGCTGGCAAACGACGCAGTGCAAGCGAAACTGTCTCATTCGCAAAGGGATTGATGTACTGCAAGAAAATCAGAAAGCAGCATTGGGGTACAACAAGTTCGATCTTACGTCGAGAGCAACGCTCAAGTAGGCGCAATCAAACTCTGTGAGGTCCGGGCAAGACGACCACGCTATACCAGAAGCGAGCGTGGAGGTTTTGATCGCCTACGCACTCGATCAGCTCGTTGCGAGATCCATATACTTAGATGTACGTACAGCGTCCATACAAGGCTTGCGCCTGTGAGAAAAGGAAAGATATAACAACACGCTAATCACCACAGCAAGAAGCAGTCGATTGTACCGGGGACGCGCTGCAATACCTTGCAGTCGTGCTAGTTTCTCCGAATCGACTGCCTTCTCCATGGTCGAATATCCAAGCCAGGACTTGGAATATACCAAGTGGAGATCGGCCTTCCGCATCTCTCTGCTCGCCGTCCCGGCTGAGTCCCGACTTGGCTTCCAAACAACGTGCTTTTAATCATGCGATGACTCGAGAAGAACAGCACACGGGACAACCTTACTTAAGGTTGTCGGCTCCGATGCCTTATGTACTTCCCTCATCCTCCCACCGTTGCGCTTCAGCAACCGCAGCAAGAATAGTATCCACTGAACGGCAGGATACTTATTTCGGAAAGACATCCTCAATAATTAACCTGGTCAAAAAAAACACGAACGAGAGATTGCACATGCCATTGAAACCTTAGCTATCTACCGTGTTTTGCTGTACAACTGAACTGTGTGCGGAGTTACCCATTCGCAAACGACCCTTGCCTGAAAGAAGAATATAAGCATAATGCTCAACACTACGCGTGATGTGGAAAGATTGGGAAAGTGTATACAACACAACAGGACACGAAAATCAAGTCCAACCCAGCATTGTCCACTCAGGATACTGCAATTATATGTCGGCGAGCCAGACCTGCAGCTTTCCTTCTGGCCTGCCTTTAGCAGTCTCTCGGGCCGTCTCGATAGCGAGGTCGAAATCGCTCTCGTCTTTCAAGCTGATTTGGACGCCGTCCTCGTCCTTGAATTTCATCTCAAGGCGATCGAACGACTTCTGAAACTTGCGCGTGACACGATCAACAAACTCGTCAAAGCCCATGGTAGGCGAGATGGCCATCCCGCGAACCTCGTTCCTGTAGTGGAGCTTGACGCGCACCTTGACAAGTTCGAACACCTCTTCGAAATCGAGGTCGCTGAGCTCGTCGTCCTCGAGCGTCACAGGTACATACCGGTCGCCCTTAGTGGTAGCACGACGCGTGATCTTGCGTTTGATTGTAGTGGGTGCGCGCACGACACCACTCTCGGTGCTACTGGCGGAGAACGAAAGACCCGGAACACCATCCATGCGAGGGCTGGACGGCGACTGGGCCAATGGTGGAGCAGCACCCTCAGGGACACCTCGTGCCCATTGAGCAAGCTTCTTATTAGCGCTGGCCTGGCCAGAGTTGATAGGCTCAGCATACGAGTCGAGGAAATCGTCGAAGTTGGTCATCGCCGTCGTATTGCGGGAGTCGTATGGAAGACGGGGTGGTCCCATGGTGTCCTCGTTGCTCCTCCTGCGCTGGGTTCCGCTGATGTCCAATCCAAGCTCGTTGCGGGGACCATTGTTGTTCCCAGAGAAAACAAGCTCTTCCAGACCGGGACCGCGGATCGGCGTGCCGAGCTTTGGGGTAGGGAAACGGGACTCCTCTCCTTCCCTCTCCGGCATGCGAGCGGTGGCATTGGATGACACCGAACTGGTATCAATCTTAGGCGCCCCGGGGGCACCGACCTTCATGGGACCCGCGCGGGGGAGACCGCCAGGTCCACCAGGTCCGCCAACACCCTCACGACGAACGGTGAGGCCGCGGGTAACAGGGGGAACACCAGGCAGGCTCTTGTCAGCTAGAGAGGGGCGCGGGCCCTCATCGCTCCGCCTGGCAGGTTGAGCATCATCTCTCTCTGGACTCCCGTCACGCATGCGAGCATTCATCGTCCTGCTCCTCGCAAGAGCAACGTCCTCCGGCAGCGGCGCACCCGTCGGGCTCATCCCTTGCGCGAGGCGGGTGGATCCGACGAAAGAGACATACGCATCACGCGAATCTGCGGCGGCAACGAGCTTGGCTTTGCCCATGTAATCTTTGGCTTTGGAATTCTTGAGCTTGATCTCAGACGGGCGGTACAAGACACCAATGGGCTGGCAGGTTCATAGCCTTATCAACGCCGTCGTCAAGGGAAGGATATAAAGGGAGACGCACAATGGAGAATACAGTATAGTCAATCCCTCGTGCAGCTATTGCCTCGTCAATTACAGAGTGCTCGGTGGTCGTCTTCTCTAGGCTCGCCTGGCGCATAATGGCGATACCCTGGTCGACCTGCCCGAGGTAGACAAGGCAAAGACCCTTATTGAACAGTACCTCGCAGGAGCACAATGTAAACTTGAGCCCCAGCTGCTCGTACATTCTACCACGCAATAATGTCAGCATCTGTTGTTGGCTAATAGCTGGAAAACAAGTACGCACATGGCTTGGTTACCCCTCAAATAGAGGACCGAGTCTTCAAAGTCTTTGTATGCTTCTTCATATTTGTTTAGGAGAAAATTGGACACGCCGCACTGGAAGTAGGCGACGCTCAAGAACTGATCATAACCTGTGGCGAGGCGAAAATGGTCGACGGCCTGCTCGTGGCTACCAACGGTTGCGAAGATGAGACCGATGTTCACTTGGATCTTGGAAGACTCGGATATGATCTGAGGGGAGTCAGTTGTGGAAGACGAAAGCATGGCAGGGATGCGTACTTCGAACTTTTGCAGTGCGCTCTCGAAATCCTCTTCGTCGTATGCTTTGAGCGCGCCAGCCCAGGTCTCCAGCTCTTGCTTCAAACTCAATGACATCCTCTTCAGTTCTTGCCTAGTAACGACCGACTTGGAGAACGCAGCAACTAGCTGGCGATTGAAGTAACGAAATTATGCGCGAATGAGCGACTTGAGAGTTTGCAGATGTGTGCTCGTGGTGTTGTTATATGTTGTGATGAGGTGAAGTTCTCGGAAAACCGTCCAGCGGCGGGCGACCAGCGGTAGGAACGGAGTGGGATGGGCAGAGCTGCGTACCAAGAAACAATCAGTATGACCGCGTGCGATAAACTCGGTAAAATGAGCCAGTCGTTAGGTGAACCGAGCTGACCATTGGCATCCGAATGTGAGTGAACTTACGCACCTCGACACAGTCGGCTACCAACTGTTCGCTCGACAGATAGGAACGAAAGAGGAATGCGAAAGAGCGAGGGGGCTGAAAGAATTATGCAAGGGGTATATAGGTTGTTCGCTTTGCGGAAAATAGATAATGGTGGGAAAGGAGAAAGTATATGAGCGGCGGCGGATACGGGGTGGAAAGGGTATGAGGTTCGCGCCTTCGTCGATCACCTCGGCAACCCGCAACGGAGATGGCAACGCTGCCACAACCGCAACCAGCGACGATTCTCGGCCTCATTATAATTACCTATGCCACACACCTTTGGTGGCTAAGTAGAGCGGGTGACGGACCCTCTCCGGACCACTTGTTAGAGGCATTCCGCAGCGTTACCCTGACCATGAGGTGACCACCAGGTTTGTACCTATCAAGCGTGCCAGCAGGAATCCTCCGGCCACCTGGTTCCATGCAATGCCACTGGCACCGAGATGCACATGCTGGCTGCCAGCTTCCTCCTCACCCTAGGTACTGGCCAAGCATCAACACTGCAAACTTCCTTGCTGCTCACCTGCATGCAGTCATGGACACTCGTGAGCAGTATCTTCAGAAGTAAGCTGTGGCATTCACTCACCAGCTGCCAGTCTCACCAGCCTGCAGGAATCGCTGGCACCTCCTTGACTACCAGTGCAATTACACTGCGCAGCAATGGGAGCACATGCAATATGAGAAGGCTGCTGCTATTGCCTGCATAAGGTGCTGGAAGCATGCTCAGGCTGTGAACAACATCCAGCATACAACCAAAGAGAATGAGGCAAACCTACACCTGCTTGCAGAGGCTGCTTGCCAGGTCAAGCAGGCCTGAAAACAGCAGGCATAATCATTGGCCAGCCAACTTTGCTTTCTGGTACTTTGGCCTGCTCATTGGATCAGGATGATTATATATACATGTACAATGATGTGACTACCTGCCTTGAATTATGCTATTTCTGCTGGCCAGCCATATTGGGCAGCCACAACTGCAATGCTGGCACATATCCACTCTGTGTCCACATGCCGGGGGGGTGGGGAAGCATGCATCCAGTAAGCCAGAAGTCCTGCTCAAGCCAGGCTGCACAACTTCCGGATGCAGCAACTGGCCAGCTGCCATAGGCAGGGGGAGTTGGGCATACTGGGTTGCCAGTGGTGTGATGTTGGGGAGGGCAGCAGGGATCCCCCCCAGCACATAGGACAGAACTGCATGGGTGCCATATTGCAGTGAACTGGCTGGGATGGCAAGTTGAGAGGCTGGCTTGACCAAATGCTGTTGGACAGCCAGGAGAGACTTCTTCACACCTCAAAGCACTCAGGCATCTTCCAGCTCTCTTGCCTGCTCTGATTGTTGCCTGGCTTGATCTGCCAGTGTTAATGGCTGAAAATGGCACATGCTGTCAAGCAGCACAGCATGCAAGACTTGCAGCTCTGTTGTGCCCAGCTGTGATGGGTTCACAAAGGGGCAGGCAGGCCAGCCAGCCAGGGTGATGCCAAACATATCCTCAACAAGGGTACCAAACTTTGCATACTGCATGGCAGCCCCATTGTCCTTCGTGATATCACCTGCAAGGACATCAGCAAGCTCCACTGGAGAGCACAGGGGAGGAGCAGGCTCATGCAGCTTGCTGAGTAGCAGCCAGCAAACATTCTGCTTTGATTCCAGTCTCTGGGTTCTGGCTCAACATGTGACACCTGTGAGCCAGACTTAAGCCAGCCAGTTCAAGCACACAATGTAGGGACACTGGCCTTGCATGCCATGGGTGGCAAACATCTCAAAGTCAACAGTGACATCCTGCATGTTGCAACCCAGCAAGTCTTCAAAAAAAGCTCACCCCACTTCATTCCCAAAAAAATGCAGCTGCTGATAGTCAAATCAGTCACTTCACACCACAAACCCAAAAATATGCCCACAGGTCCTTGCATGGAAGGCTTTGACCTATGAGTGATCAGTCATGCTAGTAAAGCTCAAATGAATTGCATGCTACCTCCCCTTGCAGAGCCTTGCCCATAGCTACTGCATTGGCTTGTGTCAGGGCACCAGCTCATTGCTTGGTCAAGAGACATGACTAAGCCTTTATGACAT